ATAATACCCGAGAATCTTGAATAGTGCTATAATCGCCAGAGGTGGCAGAGTAGCGACACTGCAGACATCGGGACAATAGCTTGTGGTAGTTGTAGGAACGGGTGTTGTTGTTGTTGGTTGTGGAGTAGTGGTTGTAGGTGGTGCTGTAGTAGTTGTAGGCGGAGCTGTAGTGGTTGTGGGTGGTGCTGTAGTAGTCGTGGGTGGTGCTGTAGTAGTCGTGGGTGGTGCTGTGGTGGTTGTTGGAGGTGCTGTAGTAGTCGTGGGTGGTGCTGTAGTGGTTGTTGGAGGTGCAGTAGTGGTTGTTGGTGGTGCTGTAGTGGTAGTGGGTGGTGCTGTAGTGGTTGTTGGAGGTGCTGTAGTGGTTGTTGGTGGTGCTGTAGTGGTAGTTGGAGGTGCTGTAGTAGTCGTGGGTGGTGCTGTAGTGGTTGTTGGAGGTGCTGTAGTGGTTGTTGGAGGTGCAGTAGTGGTTGTTGGAGGTGCAGTAGTGGTTGTTGGAGGTGGTGTAGTAGTCGTGGGTGGTCTTGTAGTTGGTCGTAGGGTTGTAACACAATGAGGTGGAAGCACGCAGCATTTAACCTTCAGTTCATAATCCTTACATAAGCTGCAAGGAAATACGGTTGAAGGAAATGTGAGGAACACCACAGACGTAATGGTAATACAAAACAGTTCATAATTACGACACACGGAAATTCGGGGCACAGGGGCCTGGGAGTCTTTTGCCACATTCCTTATGTCACCTTTTCAGAAAGTTATGCATTGATGTTGTACGCAAATAAAGCCAACAGATGGTCAGGTCTTCTAATTTTTTTCTGTTGTAAAATTTTGAAATTAAACCATGCAGCATCACACCCGATCCAGTATTCTATACACAAATACCTAGGATGTCTTTTGTCTAAATTGGACAAACTTTTAAGTATGTACATATGTTGTATATCTCTTGCTTCTTGGGAGAGAAATTTAAGAACATTTACCAGAAATGACTCATTGTTCAGTGTCTATCTTTCAATGTAATCACTTTAAACCATGCTGATGAAAGCACCAAAAGCCATTTTACTGGTTCATTATGCAACTTGCAGGTCAAATAAATGATATCATAATTTGAGATTGTATGAATCTATCGGAAAATTAACATCATAACTCCAGAAAAAAAACAAGAGAAAAATTCTGCTGCTGTCTCATTCTAAACGATTTACGGGAGACAAATAGACGGTTGGGAAAACTGTTCAAAATCAGGAACTATCTTTAAAGAGATTCATTTGTCACGTATAGATACAGTTACTAGAAGATTCTTTCAACAGTGACAAGTTTGAAGGGTAGAGATACTGACCTCCAAATTTTCGACGACTATCAGTCCTATCTACATGTACCCTTGCTCCGGAGGGAGGCAACAGGGGGTAGGGCCCAGCAGACCGATGCAAGTCTCGGGCCTAGTCTCACGCTCTCGCGAGACTAGGCTACTCCGTGAACAAGATGGACTGATAGTCATCAAAAATTTGGAGGTCGGTCTCTCTACCCTTCAAACTTGTCACTGTTGGAAGAATCTTCTAGTAACAGGAACTATCTATTTTGAGAGGACATGGGAACCCTTCTAACGGTTCTTACCTGTAAGGTCGTAAATCAGCTTGGCAGTACAATCCGTCAGTTACGTCACATGTGAGGCCTGGACCAGTTGTGAAGGGTACACCGGGGGCATTGGCATCCCGGCACATAATAGCACTTGGCTCAGCACAGAAATCAAACTTCATACGGAGCTCATAAAACCGCTCGTCATCATTCGGATCTAGGAATAAAGACAGCACAGCCAGTTAGTTCAGAGCACAGGATACACATTCTATAAAAACTCATTATGCATGTATATCATCGCCATTTGATTTTTTTAATATAGCATTACAACTGTGTTTATGAAACAGCAATCAATAGTTTGTGTAATAATAAATAATTTTAGGGACTGAAAAAAATGCTTGAAAGTAATATGATAAAATAATAGTAAGAATAGTAAGTAATAGAATAAAATTATAAGATGAAAGTTACTATGTTTAATATGCTGTGGTATATAAAATACAGGAAACTAACTTGGTGACCATCCATTCATATAATCAGTCCAGTAACAAACAGGGACACAATATTCAGTGGTTGTTGTTGGTGGTGCTGTAGTGGTTGTTGGAGGAGGTGTAGTGGTTGTCGGGGGTGGTGTAGTGGTTGTTGGAGGTGGTGTAGTGGTTGTTGGGGGTGGTGTAGTGGTCGTTGGAGGTGGTGTAGTGGTCGTGGGTGGTGGTGTAGTGGTCGTTGGAGGTGGTGTAGTGGTTGTTGGAGGAGGTGTAGTGGTTGTTGGAGGAGGTGTAGTGGTTGTTGGAGGTGGTGTAGTGGTTGTAGGTGGTGGTGTAGTGGTTGTAGGTGGTGGTGTAGTGGTTGTAGGTGGTGGTGTAGTGGTTGTAGGTGGTGGTGTAGTTGTTGTTGGAGGTGGGGTAGTGGTTGTTGGAGGTGGGGTAGTGGTTGTTGGAGGTGGGGTAGTGGTTGTTGCAGGTGGTGTAGTGGTTGTTGGAGGAGGTGTAGTGGTTGTTGGCGGTGGTGTAGTGGTTGTTGGAGGTGGCGTAGTGGTTGTAGGTGGTGGTGTAGTGGTTGTTGGAGGTGGGGTAGTGGTCGGCCCAGGAGTTGTGCAGATTGTCATTTGATGGTAACATAGGAGCCGTATTTCATAGTCGGGACAGCTATGTTGAGAAAGAAATAGAAAAAAAGCTTAGAGTATTGCCAGTAGTTATGTGTGTTGCAACATAGGTATTTACATAACTTTCGAGAGTTTTACTAGAAAGTAAAACTAAATGGCTTCAACATTCATTTCTTTGCATAGTTCAAACTTTTGAAAGCATTTTGTTTACATGTTTAGATTTGAACACCTCAATAGTTTTAAGTACCTCTGGTACTGAAAGAAGAATACGTCATGTATATTTTAACAAGAACCTTTTCTAAAATCTAATTTTCACAATAATGAAAACCACTGGTACAATCGGTAGATGTAGGATGATTTTTATATGTTAATTTACGCGGAACATACTTGTATAGACACTGAGCACCAGTCGCTAGATCGCATGTGGTGGTGTTATCTTCTGATCGTTGTCCATTGGTCAGTATGATGCCTGTTCCTACCTCCCGGCACTCAATATCGGTTGGATTTTCACAAATTTCATCGTCGGCTTCTTGCGCATCTTCTGGTGTCTCGCTCTCTGGACCTGGTTATGAAATTTATTACTTATATTTATAACGCAATTGTCCTATATCATTAATATGCGACAGAGAAGTACTGGCTGTAGGTTTAACTAAAGAGGAGTACAGTCTAAGAAAACAGGCATCAATCGTTCTTAGCAATTATACTTCTTAGAATAAATATTGGGCTTAAATTAATAAAATTAATAAAAACTACCTACCCACACGTAATAATAATAATCAAGTGCAATTCTCTAATGCTAGATTACAATCGCATAGTATTTCCGGTACTTAAGGATCATTTTGTTATCTTCATACGGTACTTAGGCAGCCTCAGATACTTTTTCTGGTAAGGGATGACATAAGAACCTCTATAAGTCTACCCACCATATTGGGCCGCTCTTGGTACTTAACTACCATCAAAGTGTATACCTTGCACTTGTCTAATATCAAACATTGTACTTAAATACACTGCCATTAATATATATAATGAACAACAATCACATTGTACTATCGAAAATTTCCACTGGAACTGAACTATAATAACTTATTCCTGGA